AGGCTGGGCCACAAGGTTCACCTTGGAAAAGGGACAGACCTGCATGCTTAGCCACTCAAACCAGCCACCCCAAGAAAGCAGTGTGTGCAGGAGACCATATAGTTTGAGTCCTCACTAAAGCCTTAGCTGAACAGCCATGGTGCTCCTGATAGATCTGTCCTTGCCTGAGACAAATCCTTCTTTACTGTCTCACTAATCAGCTCAAGAGCTACTGATGATAAAGTCCTAAAATTAATTCCTAACAAAACCCCAAAAGTTTTAAAGGCAAAATGAAAAAGCATAGTTCACAGATACCTATTAGCCAATAATTCACAAAGTATTACAGCTTAGTCTAAAAACTTGAAATTAGTTTGAATGGAGGGGGGTGGGGGTGGGGGAGGAAGACATCCTTCAGGATGAAGGCGAAGTTGGCCAAGGAAAATTACTGTTATCTGGTCCAAAGGCTACTTCTGAATGGAGCCTCCTGACAAAACTGAAGTCTGGCTGAAACTTGAACCAGATAAACTTGTTATGCAAATAGCTGTAGCCATTGGGGAAAGGGCTGATAATGAAATCTCTACAAAGCCACACACATTACAGAGGTGACAAAAAAACATCCAGCAGGGTCCTTAACATATGGATAAAAAGCAGTGTAGAATTTATGTGAGCATCATTTTTAATTTATCATAACTAAGCTGTCAGGAGTCATGCTTTGACAAATGCATAACTAACTCATACAAATGAGTCAATTATCACTAACGACCAAAGGTTCAGAACAAAACTGATGTTTCTTTTCTTTTTTTAAAACTCCAATACGTGTTTACTAATACGATTTCAGACTCTCTTAAAATCTCTCTTAGCATCTCCAAATTAAGGCTGGAAACCTGAAAAACACCAAGCCACATCCCAGCACTCATGCTGTCCCCTCCTCCCTGCTACCTCATGCACATTCATATTCATTCCCTCTCTCATTACCCTGCCTCCCCCCCCCCCCACACACACACACCCTGTCCCCTGTCTACGCAGCTATAATCACTAGCTACAGCCAGGCTAATCCCTTCAGACTACTGCAGCAATCAATGAGAAGCCATATAGGTCCTTCGGTAAGTGGAGACCAACATGGATCAAGAAAGATCAGAATTACTGAATCGCCTCTGCTATGATTTAATAGTCACATGAGGATAGGGTATTAAAAGTTTTAAACCTGTGAAAGAATTTTAGTCCTGTTTGCTCTTTAGAAAGAATTCGTTTTTTTTAATACAATGCATTGTTTTCAATATACAACGGGAATTGAAGCAATTAACTGAATAATTCAAGCTAAAAACACCTTACCTAAAGTTATGAGAAAATCATCTTTTCCACCCCAGTCCCACCAATAATGAAAAGTTTGTAATCTGAAAGTTTTAATCCTCTGTCCTCCTCCTCCCAGTATGGGCAAGATAAGTATAAAAACAAACGAAGGCTCTCTTTTTAAACAGACATTTCTAACTCAGTGAGTGTCACTGTTTGTATTTCATTAGAGATCTGAATAAACAGAATGACATAGTAAAGTCAAATTGCATTTGGTAGGCTGAGTAATGGCAGCCTAGGGTACACAGGCTCACCTATGAAACCAAGGTTTTTATTTGGGAATCATGGGCAGCTTTCTACCTAAATATATAAAATAGAATAATTAGTCTCTAATCCTGAGACTCACCTTTCTAACAATCTTGTAAAAAAAAGAATTCATGGTTGAGGGATCTAAGATGTTTTGGGAAAAGCAGGATTGGGGGCTGAAGTCAGGAAAGACTCTATGAACAACTATAATATAGAATATTTTCACTAACAAAACCATTAAGGAGAACTCATTAAATAAAGACAAGATTGATGATATTTTTCCATATCTTAAATTAGTAGTAAAGCACACAATCACTTAATTTCTATTTACCTTCATTGGTTCATTAGAACCTTTTCAGACTCTTCCTCTCCTGTGGTTTCAACAAGATACTTTTCTTTGTGCCTTATAGTACGCGTATGAAAGGCACCGGTTTTTGTGTTCTGTTCTCCCTCTAGTATCTAGACCCTTCTAAATCTAAAGCAAATCAGAATGAGCGCACCTAGAAATCTCAGAGTTGGAGAACATGTAAGCAAACTTAAATGGACGTATAATAGGACCTACCATACAGAAAAATCAGTAGTGGGAGGATTTCTATACTGTTTAACCCTGAAAGTCCCAACCCCATCATCAGTTATGTACCTTTATTCCCAAAACCATCTAAGCAATACCATGATTGGTTTAAGAACACAAATACAGGGCGCCTGGGTGGCTCAGTTGGTTAAGTGTCCAATTTAGGCTCAGGTCATAATCTCAAGATTCGTGGGTTCAAGCCCTGCACCTGGCTCTGTGCTGACAGCTCAGAGCCTGGAGCCTGCTTCAGATTCTGTGTCTCCCCCTCTCTCTCTCCCCCTACCCCACTCGCACTCTGTCTCTCTCTCTCAAAAATAAATTTAAAATGTTTTAAAAAAATGTTAAAAGAGGGGCACCTGGGTGGCTCAGTCAGTTAAGCGTCTGACTTTGGCTCAGGTCATGATCACAGGGTTCATGGGTTCAAGCCCCGCATCGGGCTCTGTGCTGGCAGCTAGCTCAGAGCCTGGAGCCAGTTTCGCATTCTGTGTCTCCCTCTCTCTCTGACCCTCCCCAGTTCACGCTCTCTCTCACTCTCTCAGAAATAAATAAAACATTTTTTTAAAATGTTAAAAGAAAACAATTACACTCTTGAAAAAATATACAGAAGATAAAAATTTGGTGAGTCAAGTCACATTTTAGAGGCATCACAAGAGCTTGGTATAGGAAGGCATATTTGTGAATATGTAATAGATTTTTCTAGGCCAACAGCTTTGAGAAGGTCAATCAAGGGAATCTGTATGCAGCAATGAAATGAAAAGGAATTCTTTAAATCCAGCCTTGCTAGCAAAAATCTTGGAATCATAGCTCTTGGATTTCTCTCCCTGGGGTGACCTGAAATGTGCCCCCACCAAGGTGTCTTTAGTTCTCCAGTTCCCTTGACCTCCTCCTTTGGCTCCCAAATCCCAGGGAGTGCCTCTTCCTCTGCTGCTAGTGAGCACCATCCCTCTGGCTGTATCTTGTTCCTCTCACCATGGCCTGACATTGCTACCTTTAAGTTGTGGCTGTTTCTGTTCTCTGAAGACTTTGCAGAAACATCAGAGTGGGGACTGGAGGGGTGAGGAAATGCCCTGGCATTGAACTGGGTGGTCACATGCCAGTACGGCCTTGCTTGGAGTTCTTTACCATTCTCTCCTGAGGAAGACAGCACAAATCCAGGAGGGGCTGGACAAGCAAACAATTTCAAGGACCTTGAACTATGTTCCATGTGAAACAAAAATTAAATATAGGTTCACAGCTCTTTCTACTAACCCTTGGAGTCAAATAGGTTTCAGAATTTAGAATTTTATCAAATTTTAGAAAAGTAAACCAGTGCATCTACTGTATGTTATGTAACATTCCTCAGCAGGATCTGGGGCAGCACACTGTAATCAAACACATTAATATATCTGCAGCAATTCACATGAATATTCACACTGAGTGAGATAAATAATGACTATAAATAGCTTCATTTCAGTTTAGGTCATGTGTTGCCACCAAATCAGATCACATAAGGTCAGGGCTTGTAGCTAAATGAATCAAGTACAAAAAAAAACTTTCATTTTTTAGAGCTCTTTGGATTCTAGAACTGTGGATAAGGAATTATTGATCTATATTGTGACTGAGTCAGGAAGATGATCAAGGGACCCAGTTTCCATCATTGTCCTGCCTCTTTGTGGAAGCTAAAAATGCACATAGATAGAAGTTGGAAAATATTGTGTTGACCATTTCCTACTTTCTGGTTATTAGCTATTTGGGGCACTTCTTTTCTCCTCCATGACCTCTGAACACCTTGTTTGATCTGCTAGACACTGAGCACACCTCTTCCCAGTTCCTCTGCACTGGATATGCCTTGTAATGCCTGGTCTAGACCCCACAGTTCACCAGGCCCCGAGCCTGGGGTCACATCGTCCCCTCCAGCAAACTGAGCATCTTCCCCAGATCTGGGAGCAGCGTAATCCTCTACCAGGGGCCAGGCCATTCCAGCACAGGGTCGCCCAAAGGTATTATCATTGGGTCTGCTCCTGTCTTGGTCCCATTCTACCTTGCCTAGGTCCTGGTAACACAGCTCCCATCAGGGTGCCATCCATCACGTGGGTTTTTATTGTGTTCTCCTCACCTTGAACCCTTGGCTGGGGTTGTTCACTTTAGTGCCTCACGTCTGAGATCCTACTGCGCCTACTCGGTCATACTGGGGACTGGAGCTGTGTTCTCATACCGCAGATCCTAAAGCAAAGTCCATCTTCCAAGCTGCAAGATCTCTGTTGGAGGCTGCCACCTTCTGTCTCTTCTCTGCGACTAGTGTGGGCATCACAGTTTTATTTTTAATTTTATTTACTTACTTACTGATTGGTTGATTGACTGATTGATTGAGACAGACAGAGACAGAACGCACACATGAGCAGGGAGGGGCTGAGGGGGAGTGAAAATACGAATCTTAAGCAGGCTCCATGCCCAGCACAGAGCCCAATGCAGGTCTCAGTCTCACAACTGTGGTATCATGATCTGAGCCAAAATCAAGAGTCGGATGCTTAACCAACTGAGCCACCCAGGTACCCTGGGCATCACAGTTTTAGACATTGAGTCTCTTCCCTTATTAAAAAGACCACTGGCAATATTTGCTCCAGGACAGAGTAACTTCTCAGATAAATGTGATCTACATGATCAGAAGGACTGAGTACAGCCAAAAGTCAAATGGAACTCCTTATTTTTCAAACTCTGCAAAGGCATCTTCCATCATTTACTGGAACCAATTCTGGGTCATAACATGCTAAGAGGCATAACAACTTCTAGCGCCAAGGAAATTCCATAGCTTGGATTTCCAATCACTGTTCAAGGCCTTGCTGGATAAGCAATTTTTAGTGGAAGAAATACTCACTGTGAAATAAAGTGGTTGAACTCCTCACACCATTTTTCTGGATGAAGTAAAGTAGGTGGAGGATTTCTGAAAAACAAAAGCAAATTTTTTTTACCAAAAAAAAAAAAAAAAACAAAGTGTTTAGTTAAAGGCAAAACATCAACTTGTCTTTACTGATATTGTTCTAAATAGCTCTGATAAAATCCATTCTGTTTCTTCCAAGATGGGACTCATTCATTAGTGGCAAATTATAAAGTGCCAGCCCCTATTCATTTAGTCCTTCATTTTCATTGACTGAAGCCCTACCTATGTTCGTAGTTTTCAGCAGGACCTGTGAAGTTACACAGATCAGGAACATTCCTCAGGGAGCGGACCCTGATGAGGGGGGAGCACACAACCACCATCACTGAGAGCTGACTATTATTAATGCCATAAGAAAGAATGCTATAACCCTAGCACTCGGGGCTTTAGAGAAATTTTACAAGGATTTGCAGATCATTATGTTACCATTTGAATTAATTATGTGATGTGTTTAAAGTACACTCAAATTCATCAAATTTTTAACTATTGCCTGTATGTTAACTTCTGGAATAGGCACTGGGAAAAGCAAAACAGCTAAGACAGTGCTCCAGACCTATGGGGTCCCTGGGTAGAGAGGGTGACAGACATCTAACATAACTACGTATTGGAGGTCCAAGAAAACTAGAGAGCTGCAGAAAGATTCTGGTAACCAGACCATCATGTAGAATAAAGGGACTGTAAGAGACCTGCATTTACTTGGCTGAATGTTACTCAAAGAGATTTCTTTTCTTTTTTTTTCTTTTTTTCAAATTTTTATTTAAGTTCTAGTTAATTAACACATAGTGTGGTATCAGTTTCAGGAGTAGAACTTAGTGATTCATCACTTACATATAACACCCAAGGCTCATCATAACAAGTGCACTCATCACCCATTTAGCCCATCCCTCCCACCCAACTCCCTCCATCAATCCTCAGTTTGTTCTCTGTCATCAAGAGTCCCCAAAAAGATTACATTTTAAAACAGAAGTGACATTACCTTTAATTGGTAAGAATTTTCTTTTCTAGCCATAAATCAAAGTAGGGGCTTCTGGACAAATCAAGTTCAGCAAATGGAGAAAGTTACATTTCTGCACATCTGAATTATCACTGTATATCTTAAACCCATTATACATCTTACTCTTGTTTTCACCTGGGCTCTAATTGCCTCCTAAAACCATAGATTGCTTAGCTTCAATAGGTAGAGGAATGAGCAGCAGCAAGAATGACAGGAATTTTTTAAAAAATGTATTAGATAATGTGATTGCAACATGCCTCTCAACACCCATTCTCCTCTCATTTCCTTAAGTACAATTTTTATTCTGACACAATGCTACCACATAAAGACTACATTTTCCTGAGTTTCTTGCTGCTAGGTGTGTCCATGTGACTGATATAATTGTTCAGGCCAATTATATATAACTAAAATTGTTCTAGAGTGTTCCCAGGAAGCTTTCTTAAAAGAAAGGAGACAATACATCTTCCTTCTTTCCCCTTGCTATTTCCTGGAGTATGGATGTGATGGCTGGAGCTTAGGCAGACATTTTGGAAGTGAGGTAAACTTGAAAATGAGAGCTACAAGCTGAGTATGGCAAAGAAGATAGATAGGGTTGGGGCACCCGGGTGGATCAGTCGGTGAGGCATCTGACTTCGGCTCAGGTCATTATCTCACTGTTTGTGGATTCTAGCCCCGCATTGGGCTCTGTGCTGACAGCTCAGAGCCTAGAGCCTGCTTTGGATTCTGTGTCTCCCTCTTTCTCTGCCCGTTCCTTGCTCATGTGCTGTCTCTCTCTCAAAAATAAATGAACATTAGGGGCGCCTGGGTGGCTTAGTCGGTTAAGCATCCGACTTTCGCTTTGGTCATGATCTCGCGGTTCGTGGGTTCGAGCCCCTCGTCTGGCTCTGTGCTGACTGCCAGCTCAGAGCCTGGAGCCTGTTTCAGTCTGTGACTCCCTCTCTCTCTGACCCTCCCCTGCTCACACTCTCTCTCTCTCTCTCTCTCTCCTAGAAATAAATAAAAATATTAAAAAAATAAAAAAAATAAATGAACATTAAAAAATAATTAAAAAAAAAAAGAAGATAGATAGGCAACTGGATTCATGATGATACTGCAAAGCTGCTGTACTAGCTCTAGACTGCTTCCCTTTAGTCTTCCTTAACAGGAGAGAGAAGTAAACTTCCATCTTTTTAAACCATTGTTATAATGCAATTAATCCTAAATGAGCCAATAGTATTTCAGAGTATTATCCTATCATATGATTAGAACATAAGTTGATAAATGATAGAGAAATAAACAAAGACATATGGAAGCATAATTAAGGAATAACTTACCGAATCTGGTGAGTCCCAGAAGACTTTTTTTATAGTTTATTTATTTTTTAGAGAGAGAGACAGAACATAAGTAGGGGAGGGGCAGAGAGAGAGGGAGACACAGAATCTGAAACAGGCTCCAGGCTCCGAGCTGTCAGCACAGAACCCAATGCAGGGCTTGAACCCACAAACAGCAAAATCACGACCTGAGCCAAAGTCGGACGCTTAACTGACTGAGCCACCCAGGCACCCTCCAGAAGACTTTACAGAAAAGATGAACTTATGCTGGCCCCTGATGAGTAGGTTGGAATTTTCAAGATAGACAAGGAAAGGGAAGCCACTACAGGCTTAGAAAACAACATGTACCAAGTCACAGAACTGTAAAAAAGTCTGGCAGGTTCAAAGAACATGAGTAATATTTTGAGACTAGACTATATGATTGTTTTGGATCTGGAGAGAGAGAACATGAGGGAAGAAAGAATGATAAGAGAGGAATCATAGGATTTCCCTGTTCTGCATAAGAATTTAATTATCTTTTAGATCTTCTGATTCAAAGACCCAAAGGAAAATTATCTGTGTGACCACCTAGAAAGAGTTAGTAGCTGAAGGTTGCCCTTCAGTTATTTTGGAGGCTGCCTCTATCCCAGTTCATTTAATTCAACAATATTTGCCTTCATCTTTCCCTTGCATTTTCTTAAATAATAACAGTACCATCACATAACTTCCGCTTCACTGCTAATGTGGCTGACCTGTTCTTACTGGCTCCAGCTGCTTGAGGCCTCAGCCTATCATCTCTTTGTGAGGTTATGCTACATCATCTCTAGAGCCCTTTCCAGAACTTGAACTTCCCTTGCGCTTCTTAGGTTTTTTGCTTACTCTGTTCTCACTGAGATCAGTTCCACAGAGAAGAGCTGCTTAAGCAACTTACTGTCTAATAGACTTAATTCACCCCTAAAGCAGTTAACCGTGACCAAGAAGTCACTTGTAGACAGAATCAACAGACCTGATTAAAACAGTCCTAGTGGACTCAACATTGGCCAGCTGAGCATGAAGGGACAGCCCTCTGTTGCAATTAAAGAATGACCCAGCAAGGGTCCACTGGTGAGATGGACGGCGAGTGTCCTCTCTTGTGTACAGAACACTGCACTTTCCTGTTTTCAGCCCAGCTATCAGCAGGAACTATAGGCTGGGGCTACGCTTTATGAGTTGGCCTGAACCTCCGTAGGGCACAGAGGAGAGTGGCGAGAGATCACCGCTCACCCAGGCCATCACCAATCCCTGCTCACCTCACATGAACCCCATACAAAGAAACAGCTTCTTTGAAGCTCGGCATCATCGGAATTTGGTTTCAGAAAAGCTCATTTGACCTTGTAGGTAGGTGCGCTGCCTTTCCTGGAGTCGATCCATCATACTTAGGTTCAGTAAATAGAGATCTTGTGAAAGATTATTATCTGTGTGTAATGAAATCTAAAAGGAATTTGAAGGCTTTGTGGTACTTTGTTTGCACTGGCAATATAAATTCCTGCCTCTCGCCATCCGGGAGGACGAGCACCAAATAGCAACAATGGTCCCTTTTTGGCTTCTGTCAACACCATAGATGCAAGCTGCAACCCCACCCAGAGGGTCTCTTTCTGAAAGGAGATGAGACGCTTCATGTTCACTGTGATGGGAGAGTCAGTGCACAGCTGTGATTCACACACAATCATACTCACAGGCAAACTCACTTACGTGTACAGATGCTGAGACACTGCAGAATATATGAATGGTAAGTGACTAGAAGGACTGTAAACCTAAATAACCAGCTTGTATTTGGACAATGTTTATAAACATACGTTTTGCTTCTGTGAAAAAAAGTCAAAAAGCGAACACAGTGTTCAGTGTTTGTTTCACAGCAAGGCAAACAGCAGCCAGAGGCCCTACAAGGCTCCTTCCCCCCAGGAACTATACTCAGCCTCTCAGCAGCTAGCTGCCATAGCTTTAAACTGTGTTTGTGAGTATCTGTACTTCATCTCAACGTATTTTGTGCAGCCATTTAGCAACATATGTCCTAAGGCATCGGAAAAGCCTAAAAGGCCTTATCTTTTGGGTCTGGAAATGCTCAAAAATTTTTCAATATATGTTAATGGCAATTGCTTCTTCACATTACGCTATTTTTGGCTTAAGAAAGTTTTCATAGGAACACTCTACTTTTGGATAGCAGGGGAAAGCCATATTTGAACGGAGTTTTGCCTGCCTGGATTTTACTCCTGTGATTTGGACCCCAAATTCAATTTCTATAAAGATGATCCACAGCACACAGCACACAACACACATTAAGGCTACATGAGGCTAGGAGCAAATGGGAGTGATGGTAAACAGAGGCCTGAACCTATCATTTACCTCTTTTTTGACACTGTAATTCTGGGTCCAGCAAATACAATGGAGGTCAAGTTAACTTTCTACCCACAAAGCCTCTGTGGGAAGAGGCTTTCTGAATAGTCCAGCTGAATTCATTCCTGAAAGAGAGAAGCAGCTGACTGGGGTGGGCACCTGGTGTCTGGATAGCCAATCCTAATTTAAACTGGTGGCCTCCGCCATAGCGTGATGCAAAATGATAGTATGGGTCAATCTGATTCTGTTTAGGTTTTTTCCCCCACCTTGAACTGAAAAAATAAACACAAAACAAACAAGAGAATGAAGCCGTTTAGTAATGGGAGCTGAAGCTAAGAGATTCGTGATGA